AATAGATCATATGGGAGTCCTAGTTATAATTTTTTAAAAGAATCTGCATACTATTTTCCTTAGATACAGAACCAATTGGTGAGCCCAGAAACTGTGAATCAGAGATTCCTTTTCACCCATATGCCCACCATCACTGACTGTTTCTGGGTTTTTATTATAAGCCTTTCTCTCTGCTATAAGGAGATCTCTCATTCATATTTTCATTTGCATTTTCCTGATAATTGGTGGGTATGAGCACTTCTTTAGAGAACTGTTGGTCCCTTTCCCCTGATGTCTAACTTTTTACTTTTCCTGTGAGGCAGCTATTCCCCTCTCCAATATCACTGCTGTGAGACCACTTCAGTACACGCTGTGAGGTGTGCACCCTTTCTGTAATCACCAGAATTTCACTGATTTGGGTGTGAAGAAAGGGTTTCTAGTGAACTTTGATCCCCAGTCCTAGCACCTGACCATGGTGGAAAAACTTGCCCAATTCTACCAGATCTGCCCACAGTATTGCGATCCACTGGATCCCCTGCTCTGGGGCTCAGTTTCTACTAGTGTTCTTCTGCTGTTCTTCGATGCTGCTCAGAGAAGAAAATGTTGGATAACTCCTGTCACGGTAGCCCCTCAGATTCTGAAGTAACCCCAAGCCTTGTAGGTAAGTCCAGCCTCTAGGCCCTGGACTGTCAAAAGTACCATCTCTATCCACCTTCCTCTCTGAATTCACTGGCCTCAAGAATTTCCATTATTTCACTGTTAAAGGGCAAAGTGTCTTCGAGAGAAATAAAGTTCCTTACAAAACTTCACAATGAGTCGAAGATCAAGAATTGTGATCTCCCTCTTCATGAAGACACCTGTGTAAATCAGCTATTGAGAAGTAATAAATTGCAGCTCAAAGGCCCGAGATTTTGGCACCTGAAAGCCAGCCCCAAAATAGAGCTCATAATTCAAGGCCCAGGCGGCACTGACTGGGTGTCAGAGGAAAGATCTGCTGCTGACAATGTAAAACTTAGAGAAGAATACCTAAGAAGACAGCATCCTCCCTGTTTCCCTCCTTCCTCCTCCTCCTGTTTGTCAGTCCTTCTCCTCCTGCTTAGGCGAGTATGTGTGAGGGGTGAGATATTGTTGTCTGATATTCGTAGCACTGATTGATATGTACAATTTCAACGAAATCCCTCCTGATGTCTATAAAACTCAAATCGCATGCATGCTATCTATTTGATTTGTGAGCCTTATCAAACCCTGTGCTTCAAACTGTAATCTGAGTGATTATACACATGTAAGACAATCTTGTTACAGGGCATTCCTGTTAACATTTGAAAGAGAAAATGATTAAATTTCTGCCTACAACCATTTAATATATACAAACATACCTATATGTACATATATACATATATATATACATATATAAATCTCGATCACACCTGGTGGCACTCTAGGGCTACTCCAGGCTTAGTGCTCAGGGGTCATTCCTGAGAGTGGCTGTGGGATCTTGTGGTGTTGGGGATTGTGCCAAGCATGCACTCCAGCCTGCTGGCCTTTATCTTAAGCTCCTATTTTCATACTGGAAAAAAAAAGGTCCATAGTGTACCACAGTATATGAGATCCTAAAACTCACGGATTAGACACTAACCAATTTGAAGATAAAGGATCTTTTAGGCTGTGTGCATTTGGGTCATTGGAAGGTCAGTAGAATGTTATGGCAGACTCTGTCAAGTATTTGTTTGCCAAAAATCCTCCCTTGATCTCCTGCAAAGAGGGCTCCAGTTGTGTTTAGGGAGGTGCCAAGCCACAGACCACTCACTCTTAGGCTTTCTCATCAGGATCATAAACCTTCCTAAAATGATCAGGCTACGTAACTTTAACAGCTAGGTCACTTATCATTTGGGGTGCTCAGTGCTAGGTTATTTTGTGATCATTAGGTGGCCAGTGCCCCATCAGCATACTGAACAAATAACAGCAAGTGGAGGTACTACCCTCCACCATTGCAATATGATGGGAAACCCTCTGTGGGTCAGACTTTAGTAAGGTTTGCTATTACTTGCAGTCCCATGCAATCATAATATAGCCATTTTAGCAAAGATAAGACTATAGCAAGGGCTGGAGTGATAGAACAGTGGGCAGGGTGTTTTCTTTTCTTTGTACATGGCTGACCTGGGTTCGATTTCCAGCATCCCATATGGTCTCCTGAGCACTGCCAGGAGTAACTAACACCTGTGCATCACTGGGAGTGACCCAAAAAGCCCCCAAAAAGAATAATAGCATGAAGATAAAAGTTTATAACATCTCCAAGGATCCAAATCCTAAATGGACTTCTTGCTGAGGTTATGGGATTACCCTAAATGCTAGATGAGGGCCTGCAAGTTTTGGTTATTTGTTTCAAAATGCTGAGGATTAACCCAGGGCTTTACACATGCCAAACAAATTTTCGACTGCTGAGCTATATTCCCAGCCCTGTCTTTCCTCTTTCGTGAGGTTCAGTTGCAGGCATAAACTAGTACAATACAACAATGATCATTAGAGTTTTCCAACTAGGAGAGAACAATTCAGGGTTGTGCTATTAGTAGTTAGATTTTTCTGGAGATTTGATGTGGACCCTGTCAGGTTCAGTAAGGAACTACAGAGGCTGCACCTCCCATTCCCCCAGTGATAGAGTAAATCTTGTCCATGGTGTTTGCTAACAGATCCCTGGGCACAGATGCTCTGAAGTGGCACCATCTGGAGAAGTGGTTGGAATAGCAGCACCGCGTGGGCATGTGCTTCAGAGCTTGGCAGTCCAGGAAGAAGTGGGGGACCCTTGCCCAGGACGGTCAGAATAATGGCCATCTTAACCTACATCTTCTTGATTAGCAAAACTGAGATGACCAGAGAGAGCTTTCCTGGGATTTTTCTATGCCAAAGTACCCAATAAGTGGTACTAAATGGAACTGATGCTTGACTCCTTGACCCTCAGAGAACTCACAGGATTAAAGGACTCCACCAAATTAAGTTGTCTGGTAGAAATCTTAATGGTTGAGGACTGAATTTAGTATTCTAAGGAATATCAGAAAGCCTGACTTACCATTCCCTAGACATTCAACTGTCTGTGTCTTTACTACAACCTACAGGGTCTTTGTGGAGACCCTTTTATTCTAGACATGTACCATTCAGAGTTAGGTGCTAGGGAAAAAATCTAAGTATTCCAAGGGAGAATATAACTATGATATTCTATAGTTCACAAAACCTGTTAAGCTTATGTCCAAGAAAAGAGTTTGTGTTAGTGGGGGCCTTTTTAAATACCTAGGAAGCATGATTTTTAAGGATGTCAGAATTAAAATCACCTCTATAACTACATCAATATGGATCAGGTAATCAGAGTATCTTCTGAATAGGACTGGATACATGTTCAGGGATTCCTGGGCAACAAGGCAAGATAGTCTTTTGCAAGGACATTGCTAGAGATAATGACCAACATATTACCCAGTGGAACAGAATACAATGCCTGATACATTTGAGCTATAGAGGAACTCAAAGTGCCCTGCTCAGCCTTAAATATGTGCAAGGAAGACAAACTCTGAGACAACAGCAGTCTAAAAGGAAGGCATATATAACCTGAGAGTTAGAACTTAATGTCTTCAAATTCTTGGTGGATGTTTTCCTTTTACTCTCCAATCTGGAGATTCATCAAGGAAGACGAATAACCCATCAGAGGTTTTGTGTTAGTAACTGAGTAGCTAAGGGGTCACCATAACATGGAGCAGGCCTAATGCAGAAGAATTCTTAAATTCCAGTCGTTTCACAGATGGCACAGCTACATTCCTGACTGACATCAATCCCTCCACTCATGTACTAGATCCCACTGTCCTTATTTCCAGGATGTCACTTCTAAAATCCACACCCCCTCACACAAACTCAGTCTTACATGAACCATTTTCACTCACTCTTGGATAATTTTCATTAGCATATAAACAGACTAGTCACTTCACTCCCTCACACTTCCCCCATCTTTAAAAATGCAGTATCTTCTCTTGACTCCATTTTTCCCTACCAATTTTCATTCCACTTCCCCACTCCCATTTGCAGGAAAACTATGGAAAATAGTTCCCTAGATCCACGGCATTCAGTTTCTCTCCTCTCTATTCTTCCTAAATCCTTTGCAATGGGGTAATTACTTCTACTAGATATCCACATCTGCTCTTGGCAAGATTACCAACAACCCTCAGTAGGTTAGAGTCAATGACCAGCAACCAGCCTTTGTCTATTTAGCATACTCTGCTGAAAACATGGACCCCCACTTCGGGGGATATACTACTTTCCTACATTTCTAAAACAATGCTCTTTTCTTTCTCCCTACCTTAGTGCTCACACTTTATTGGTTCCTCCTTGATGCTTTCTTCTACCAAAGTTCATGTTGGAGTATTCTAGGAATGTCTTGAATTTTCCTCTCCTCTTCCTCTACATTTAGTTTTTTTGTTGGTCAAATTCAGGCTCAGAGTTTTAAACATGGAAACTCCCAAATTTTATCTATAGTCTAGACTTCTCTCCTAAAGTCTTGACTTATTTCTCTGCCCTTTCAAATTTCCTCTGTCTAATACACACTTCACACTCAACATGTCCCCAATTAACACTTGCTCTTATTCTAAACACCAAGCCTTCCTCCTCTCAATTTATGGCAATTTTATCTTCCTAGCAGCTCAAGACAAATAAGACATTAAGTCACCCTCACCTTCGGGCAATGGTTTGAGAAACCCGACTGGATTTTCCTTTCAAATACATCGGAGCCTGACCACTTCTCAACAACACTTGTACCACCACCTTTTCCCCATATTGGTGAAGTTGCCTTCTAGTAGATCTCCTTGTTTCGAGCACTCAAACATAACAGCCAAAAACAGTCCCTTTAAACATAAGGCCGGTCAGGTTGTGCTTCTGCTCAAAATCTTCAGTGATCCCACTTTATCCAGTGAAAAACTTAAAGTTTTTACTACAGCCTCTAAGGTTCATATGAAGGCATCTCCCTTTCCTTCTGATCATAACTCCGCTCAGCCACGCTGGTTTCCTTTCTGTTTCTTCACATCACCTCCTATGGTCGTTTCTCCAGATGTTCTCTCTTCCTGGACATTGTTCCCAGATACCTCTTGAATAACTCCTGAATTGCCTCCAAGTCTTTGCTCATATCTAATAAAGACAGGAGCATGGATGCACCATGAAGCTTATCCAGATCATTTTATTACCCCAGTGTTAAATTTCTTAATCCTATTCAGCACTTCTGATTCCAGTCTGCTTTTTAAAAAAAGTAATAATAATTCCCTATCTTTTATAACCTAACAAACTACATGATTTACTCACTTGTTTTCTACATTCTTTGCGAGAATAAAGAATTGTAAGGGCAGGAATAATTAAATCTTGAACCAGATTTTTAAATGGCATGAAAGAGATGTTTGGAAAAGTATTAATGTGATTTTTTTCCTTTTTGTTTCTTCCATGTGTCCATTCCCTTCTTAAGTATGGACATCTCTTTCCTTGGGAAATATCATGATTTCTCTAGTAGGCAAATAAGGATTGAATAATGTTGAATTTTTGAAGCCCACAACTACATAATGTTCATGAAATGTTTGCTGAGGAAGTCAAGGAAGTTCTAAATCCCAAACACCCTTAAGAGTTTGCATGATGCCGGGATAAAACTGCACTGAAAACAAAAGGCAGAGAAAATTTTGAACTGTGATGCTGAAAAGTTGCCACCAAGTGAGGAAGTAAGATGTTCTTCCAGTTGGAAGATCTAAGGAAAGGAACTGAGATTAAATTTACCTGGTGCTTGTATTCCTGTAAAGGAACCCATCAGTTCCCTCATTCCTTGGGCTTTGGACCCAGAATGCGGATGTTGGATAAAACATCACCTGGAAGATACGGTAGTAGAACCTGGAACTTCTGGATTGGTTCTACTTCCGGGTTTGTTCTTTATAACCATTCCATATTCATCGTGGTGCTGGGGCAACATGCTGGTACACAGCAAAGTGATTCTGAAATGGTAGAGAGATGTCCAGGTAGATGAGCCTCAGCACTGACCCCAGTGCTCAATATTCTGGTTGACTTCGTTTGGTATATTTTTTGAGCCTTGAAGAGAGGGCACAGAAATGCTGACGTCTCTGCATCTAGAATGAGAAAGCTGTATCCAGCAGAGACTCAACAAGCAAAAGCCTATTTATGAGCACTTTTAAGAAGCGAGTAACAGAAAGGCACCCCATCCACTGGACTTAAGTGCTAATTGCCCAGAGAGCAGCAGGACATGGAAAATGCTGAGACTCAGGGAACAGCATAGCACAGAGCTCTAAGACAGCACAGCAACCCTCTCTGCCATTGCAGGGATATACACACTCCCAGCATTCAAAAACCCATGATAGGAGAAGTAGGCAGATGAAGGAGCAAGTGCTGTAAGAGTCTGACCAGTATAAATTCTGCCTCTGGGGCCAGAGAGATGGCTCAAGAGGCTGACTGTGGGCTGCACTGGATTCTCCAGTACTGCACAATCTTCCCGAGCATAGAGTTCGGAGTAGTCTCAGAGAATTTCTGGGTATGGTCCTAAAACCAGCAGCAACAATTTTTATATATGACTTTGTCTCTAGTAAGAGGGGCAGCTTGATGGGTAGCACTTGATGGGACCATTCTGTCATTGTTTTTGTTTTGCATTTGACTTTTCTTCCCTCAAACTAGAATATTTGGAAAGGGAAATTCGCATCTAAGTGAAACTCTCAAGAGATAATGCAAAAAAGGAAAAAGAGAAAAAGAGGTTGGATGATTGGAGAAAGGAAATCAGTAGGGAAGCAGTTCAGAAGGTAAAAAGGCTTCCCTGAGGGAATTTAGATGGAGGTCAGTTTCAATTGATTTAAACTTTGCACTCCCTATAATAAACTTCAGAAAATGGAAATGGGACAGAAAAGGAAATTCCTTGTGAGAATTGGGGAAAGAAACCCCGGTCCAAGTCCTGGAATATGTAATGGGATTCCTGGGCTGACACCCCTAATAGATCATTTAAGATTCTGTGATGCCAGCACCCAAAAGGAGAGAGAGAACAAAAGGGAAAGCCCTGCCACAGAGGCAGGGTGGATGGGGGGCAGGGGGCTGGGAGGGATACTGGGATCCGTGGTGGTGGAAAATGGGCACTGGTGGAGGGATGGGTACTCGAACGTTGTATAATTGAAACCCAAGCACAAAAATTTGTAAGTCTACACCATGTACCTCATGGTGTTTCACTAATAAAAATTAAAAAATAAAAGAAAAAAAAGATTCTGTGACACTCCTTCTACATATAAAATGAGGATCTATCTTTGCTCCTCTTCCACACTTTAAATTTTATTTTGACATGGATTCTTTCGCTACATCTGCTTATTTTTATTAATATTTATGTGGTCTATCATTTCCTACCCTACCACTCTTTTGTTTAACAAATAGTAATTCCTTCTTTTTTAAAAATAATTTTTTAAAATTTAGGGGCTGGAGCGAGAGTAGAGTGGGTAGGGAGCTTGCCTTGCATGTGGCTAAACCTGGTTCAATCTCTGACATCCCACGTGGTCTCCTGAACCTGGAGTGATCTCTGAAGGCAGAGCCAGGAGTAAGCCGTGAGCATTGCTTAGTGTGACACCCCCCAACACCCACCCCAAATAAATGTTTAAAAAGAAAGGCTTGCTCTTCCAGCCTGTGGTCTTCCTTGAACTTGGATCTTGCTTGCTTGCCTCTGTTTCATTGTTTGACTATTTCCATTCTGGAGAAGCCTGTGTTCTCTCTCAAATCTCTCTCTCTCTCTCTCTCTCTCTCCCCCCCCCACATATGTTTCTAAATAAGTTTAAATTAAAACTAACTTGTGACACCAAAAGTTTTCTTTAAAAAAATTCACTGTGTGCACACCAAGATATTGAAATATTCCCCTTTGAATCATATATAAATTTGTTTCTTAATACTTACTCTTTAATTTGTCCATTATGATCCATTAATCATGTACTGTTATTTTGGGGGTTCTTATTCCTTGTGGATTTTATTCCTTATCTATTCTAAATATAAACCAATACCATTAAATATTTTCCTCTGGGTACAGATTGGTATTTCATTTCACTTAGGTTTTCTGGTATAAAACATTCTTCATCCTTCCTTTTTTATGCAATCGATTCTGCCTTTTCACTATTTTAAAAATTGTAATCTAAATAAAATCTTCCTTATCCAATAAAGACAAAATTTTCTAGTATTTTTCACTAAAGCATTCGCAACTCAAAGATACTGGGTCTTCAACATCTAGAATGTTTTTTTTTCCCTGAAAGATTCAAGATAGAAAATAATATTTTGAAGCTTTTTCTTTTTTTTATCATGAATATCCATTTGTCTCATTAATCAGTCTATTCTTATTCCACACATGTGAAGAGTGATCCCTCCTGTATGCCAAATTCTTCTATATACAGGTCAACTATGAGTTTTTTATTCAATTTCACTTGACTATTTTTCTATTTCTGTGATATACCATGCTATTTAATAACCAAAGTTTGTGACATTATGGTAAATGGAAAATCAATTCTCTCCTTTTTTCCCTAGGTCCCACAGTCTCCAGTAATACTTCCTTACAAGAATTTTATGTAAAAAAAAATCCTTTGTTTTGTTAGAAATGTATTAAATTTATAAATCTGAGTAAAGGGCTGACATTGTGATGGTATTGTGTTTTACCTATTACAGACACATTATTTATCTCTAGTTAGCCATATTTTATGTCATTCACTAAAACTTATTTTTATACATAAAGTTTTATTATGTTATTCTTTGCTGCTGTATATGGAGTCACATTCTATTTCAATTTAATTGATGATTGTGGCATCTAAGTCATTGATTTTCTAGTTTTTAGTTAAGATAGTAAATTACATAGCTAGACCTTTATTGTCAAGTTAAAATTGCATTAGATAAACTATATTATATATACAGAATAATTATTCTATATTATTCTATTTGTTCATTGCTGCGCTAAAATTTCTACTGTTTTTTTTGCACCCATCTTTATAAATAAAAGCAGTGCTTTTCTTTTCTTTTACTTCTCATGTTTTAAAATTAGGGTTAATTGATCAATATAATATGAACTGGATATTTGTCTTTTTCTATGATTTAGAACAATTTATGAGATGGAATTTATCTGTATCTTGACAGTTTATAGAACTTGCCTATACAACCACCTAGACCTAGTGCCTTTTAAAGAAATAGACTGTAGATTACCATTTCAACTTTAGATTTTCTATATCTTTTAATAGCATATTGAAATTTGGTTTTTCTGTAAAATCATTTGTATATTGATATGCTGTTCTGCAATTTTGAAAGTCTACTTTTTATAATTTGTGCTTTTATATTCTTGGTAACTTTTTATCTCTTCTCTTTTTTTCTAACAATATTTGCCAAAGAAATAAATTTTTATTGGAGGTTTGGAAAGAGTTTTGCTCAAATCTGCTCATTCCCTTCACCTCATTTCTTTTTGTTTTAACCTCTAACAGATTTTTGACACTTTCTCACTAACATCCCTCTGAGATTTTTTAAGAGAAGTTTTCCTGGGGTGCCAGAGTGATAGTACAGCAGGTAGGGAACTTGCCTTCCATGAAACTGATATCCCGTATAGTTTGATGCCTGACATCCCATAAGGCTCCCCTCCCACCAGCACTGCTAGGAGTAGGAACCCCTGTACATCACATTTCTGCCCACCCTCTTCCCCCAAATTAAGAAAATTTTCCCTAATCACTAACCTCTCTAACATATGCCAAACATAAAGAAGACATCTGTTTAAGTAAAATAGCATTTTAGAGTCACAATGAATATCTTTTTTTTTAAACTCTCATCATTTTTGCTCTCTTGGAGATAGTACCTTGTTGAGAATGCACAGTCCACAGTATTTTCTCTTTCTTTCGAGTTGTTTTTTCTTTATTTTCTAGAGTTGAAACAAAACTAAATCTATTTTCTAGGTAAAAATTTAAAACTAGGGATAGTACAGTGAGTAAGGCACTTTCCTTGAAGACAACTGGCATGTTTTGATCCCTGGTACCACAGATGCTCCCCTGAACCCTACAGGAGTGATCCCTGAGTGCAGAACCAGGAGTAAGCCCTGAGTATAGTCAGATGTGGCCCCCAAACAAACAAAAAAAAAAAGGTTTAAAATAGAAACTCCCTTACTGGTGGAATTCCCGTGCATCACAGAAATTTTATTGTGTGGCACTTTTGAACTGATTCATTCTTCATGTTAAAAATTGACCATTGGGGCTGGAGCAATAGCACAGCGGGTAGGGCGTTTGCCTTGCACACGGCTGACCCGGGATCGATTCCCAGCATCCCATATGGTCCCCTGAGCACCGCCAGGGGTAATTCCTGAGCGCAGAGCCAGGAGTAAACCCCTATGCATTGCCAGGTGTGACCCAAAAAGCAAATAAATAAATAAATAAAATAAATATTTTTTAAAAATGACCATTTTGTATATCATGCAAAGGTTTGTCTTCACTTCCTCTAGTGAATGAATTCTGGGTTTTTTGTTGTATTTTTATGTGTTCATCTTCCTTGATGTGGTTCAAGTAGTTCAAGACTTACTTTCTACTTTACCATACCTGCAATCTTTCAACCTTAAGTTTGATGCTTCCATTAGGTTTTTGATGGATACTCTATTAATTTAAGAAATTATCTTTGTTACTCATTTAATAAAGTGATTGTAACTAAATCAGAATTTTGTGTTGCTTTCATCTATATTTTAGAACAAATTTGACATTATCATGCTACCTTTTATTTTAAATTTCTATTAGACTATTTTGTTTAATTCACCTGACTTCTTTCCTAAGAAACCTACCTCTGAGGGCTGGAGCAATAGTACAGTGGGTAGGGCGTTTGCCTTGCATGCGGCTGACCTGGGTTCGATTCCCAGCATTCCATATGGTTCCCTAAGCACCGCTAAGAGTAATTCCTGAGTGCAGAGCCAGGAGTAACCCCTAAGCATCTCTGGGTGTGACCCAAAAAGCAAAAAAAAAAAAAAAGAAAAAAGAAAGAAACCTACCTCTGTAAATTTTCTGAGTATATTTGTATTTCCATATCCAATGGCAATATCATTGAGTCTAGGCTAAAACTGTTGGAAAAACTGCAACCACCAGTGTACATTTTTCAGTACTGAAGGACTAATTTCCCATTGCTTTCTTTGCAGATTCAGTGGTACCTCTCAAAATTTCACCTCAGATCCTTAATTAAAGTGGACATTTGTTTGTCCCTTAATACTTCTATTTTTATTGTATCTCTGGGTTCCAATCATCTCCTCTAACCTATTAATGACTAAATTATCACTCTATTTCATGAATTAACCTTTATGATAGTTTGGCACCTGATCTTTCTTATTTTCCCATTTGTATTGTTATTTGTCTTCTAAGACTGCAAAGTTTCTAGTAGAGAAATATTTCTCTTCCTCTAGCTTAATCAGCCTTTCTTCTATTACTCATATTTTGCCCTGTCAATATTGTTTGGACTTCAGAATTTAAATATATTTTTAAACAAATACTTGATCTCCTATATAGACCTGATCCCTAGAGACACAGAAATTAGTTGCAATCTTTTCTACTCTTGGATTACAGTATCATTGCTTCTTTCTCGCTCAAATTCCTACATATATCTGCATCACTATTTCTATAATTGTGATCAAAATCTATCATTATTCTGTGAGAAGAAACCTAAATTGAATCCCTGAAATTCTACTATCAGGCTTCATACATTCAATATACCTGGTACCAATAGGAAACATATATAGGAGGTGCTCCTGATAACAACCTCACACACACTCACAGTAAATTAAACACTGTGCCTCCCTCCAGGTCTCTCTCCCAGTCCTAGTCAAGATAAAGTTCAAATTAAGACAAAGGGAACCAAACTGAGTGAAACTGACCCAATGCCTGCCTGTTGGATAATCCCAGAATAATGTTAAGATGAGAATCTCCCAAGCATTTTATTTGGCATATATCTGAAACTCATTCCATTGCACATAGACTGTATCTACAATTCTGGCTGCAATTAAAAGAAGCATCTTCAGGGCTGGAGTGATAATACAGTAGGTAGGGCATTTGCCTTGCACGCGCCGGACCCGGGTTCGATTCCCAGCATCCCATATGGTCCCCTGAGCACCGCCAGTAGTAATTCCTGAGTGCATGAGCCAGGAGTAACCCCGGTGCATCACCAGGTATGACCCAAAAGCAAAAATAAATAAATAAAAATAAAGAATTATCTACTTTCCCATTCTACAATGCTTTTCCCATCTGCCTCAAGTCCCTGTGAGTCAAAACTAGCTACTGGGACATGTGTAGCCTACTTTTCCTGTGGCCCTATGTCAAGTTCTTCTAAAGGAGGTTTTCCTGGCTACTTCAAGCTTCTAGAACTTGAGGGGAAAAAAAGGTCAACAAACTAAAAAGAATCGGTATCTTTAAAACACTAAAGACCTGTGCCCTCAGGCATTGGGAGGGTTGGAAGGGGGGTATATTGGGGTTCTTGGTGGTGAAAAATAAGTACTGGTGAAGGGAAATGTGTTTGATGATTGCATGACCAAGACTTAAACCTGAAAGCTTTCTAACCTTTCCCACAGTGATTCAATAAATAAATAAATAAATAAATAAATAAATAAATAAGGACCTGTGCCCTGGTATAGCAGATACCCCATCTTCACACGTCTCATTTTGGTTACCTAACTCCTGAGGGTGTAGTTCTCATGTTTAACATATTCCTATGTCTTGGGAGTTAAGAGAGAAGAGAAATCATATTCCTTTCTCCTACACCACCTGAGTTATAGAAATAGGAATCATATCAATAAGGAAAAATGAGTATTTTGTTGATGAAGTTTTCTATGGTCAAAATTGGGCTTTGTAAAAACCATCCCTACTTTGCCTCTCCTACTCTTCCCAATTGCCAGTCTTGATATGCACCTCCATCCCCCTAAAAGGGAGAACACTTACCTGGAGAGATGCCAGGGGTCTAGCTGCCACAACAGAGGAGAAAAGGAGAGTGTTTCTTCAGAGCTGTCTCTGGCAGGCAGACTGGGATTCAGCGAGTATGCTTACCATAGGAAAGCAGGATCCCAGCAGAGGAGTGCAAACATCATAGGCAAAGAGCAGAAGAGAGGAGAAATCTTAGAGTGTGTGTGTGTGTGTGTGTGTGTGTGTGTGTGTGTGTGTGTGTACTGCTATGCGTACCATGACCCTCTTTCCCAAGACTCCATCAGTGGACAAAAATCTTCCCCTGCGAAGAAAAAAGTAAAAGGCAGAGACAGGGAACCATGAGTGCTTCCCAGTGTGACTTGAAGAGCAGGGAAATAGACACAAAAGAGAGAATTTTGTTCCCAGGGGTGTAGAAAGGGTCTGTCCTCTTCATCTTCTCCCAGTAGGGGCATGGGATGATCCTAATTTACCCACAGCCAAGGTCTGACTTGAAATTCATACTCAATTCCAACCCAGATCTAAGAAAGACATCTATTAATAAATTATGTTCCGAGGTTATCCCCACGTCAGAACTCAGGATATTCATCTTAGGGTGGTGGTGGGGGTGTGGCTGGTTCAAAGTCCTAAAAGATCAGGATGACCCCAAGTAATCCCCAGACATACTCATTTGCTGAGTTCCATCTGATTAACAAAATGAACCTGAAGAAATACCCATGAATATAGGGAACCCCTTCCAAGGTATTTACTACTAACTGGTCAAGAACTGGCTGGTTGCTGGAGTGAGAAGGGAAATAAGAAAGGTGAGTGTAGAAATCTCGTCTCCATTAACTTGCAGATCTGGTGTTCTGGGTATCTCAGCCCCACCGCCCCAAGAAGAAAGGCAAGCCACATTTAGACCGATGAGTCTGTCCCCAGGAAAAAAAAAGTCCCCAAGGCAGAAGAACCCAAATAAGGACAATACGTGGGAGGTTCAGAATCAAAAGTTATTTATCAAAGGTGTTGGAAAAGCCAAGCTTTCTCGATCCCAGTTCCAGAATGGTCAGTGGTAGTCTCTCCTTGTTAGCTTCGTTGGTCCACCTAACCCAATAGCAGATCTTCTATTGACGGAACAAAATCACAGTCCTCAGGGAGGTCTAGAGTGCCTACCTATCCAGTGCCAGCTGAGTAATCAAACAAAGGGACAGCTCTCCCCACCACCAAAGCCCACATCACATCCGCCTCTTCTCCCATGCATATCCTCCAAATGTGAAGCTGACACATCTTCCATATTACACACCAGGAAATCATAAACCTCTCTAGGTCATACTATCTGGGTCCTTCTTAAAAGACACTTCCCCTTGCTCAATCTATAAGCATTTAGTATAGTCCCAATGCCAGGCTGGATCGCGCAATCACTCACTCTTTCAGCACTCCCTTGGAATGTCCAGAACCAGAAAAAGAATTTAAACTGGTCTTGAAAAATTAATCTGTCAATTTTTAAAAAACGCCAAAATGCCAGTCACTTTTAACTTTATGTTCACATGTTGGGGAAGGAGGAAATGGACTCAATCTGCTAAGAAAAGGGCTTTGGGGTTAAACACAACAAGCAAAGGAGGGCTGGACTTTTGAAGGAATCAAGAAGTGGCAGGGATTGGGAGAAGAGAGTGGTGTCCTTTGACTAAGGACCTTGGGGTAGCCAAGCGTGAGGGAAAGAGCGACTCAGTTCAGAGAGCCAGGCTCTAGTCAGAGCTCTTTCCAGCAATCACCAAGTGAGCTTATCAGGCATCAGTGTCTTCATCTGCACAATAGGGAAAAGCTGTTTAACTAGACACCCTCTCGAGCTGTGTGAGATATAGCAACTTCCACATGTATAAGTAATGGACCATCACGACAAGGTACTCCAGAGAGGGCCAAAGGGAACCTTAGCCGGGCAGAAAACGCTTTTTAGACCCATATTTCATGGGTTGCACGAACACACTTTCACATACACATACACACACACACATAAGCAAAGTGGCCAACGATTTCATCCATAGCAGCAGAGACAAGAACAAGAAATTAAAATAATAAATACCATAGATACTCAGTTCCTGCATAGGGAAAGAGGGGTCCTGAGGGTATAACTCGGGGAAATGCCAAGGTCAGGGAAGAATAATCCTCCTTTGAGATGGTAACTTTCACCTTGCTATGTCCCAAACAGAGCAGCCTGCTCTTGGGAAGAAGCCATCCTCCTCTTCTCCTTCCCCCACCACCAACTCAACCTGCTGCAGAAACAACCCCCAAAAATGCACAGATCCCAAGAAAACAAATCTCTAGTCCACCACTAAGAAGCAAACAGAATCTACCGCACCTGAGATTACCTGGAGTGGGCTGCCGGGACCATGTGCCTCGGTTTCCCTGATTGGTTCTGAAACGTCTTGTTCTGAACCAATATCACCCAAAGCAACTTCAGTTGCCTCCTGGGTGCAGGGGGAGCTAGTATAGACCACTCCTTTTTTTAATTTTTATTTTTTAGACCTGGTGCGTGTATGGCTGTTTCACAAATTTCTAAACCAACCTCATGGCGAGAGTGCGCCGAGAAGTCACCCTCCCTAAAAGGGAAGAAAGGCCACAAGGCGAGTGCAGGGCTCCAAACCATGCGACAGGGCCTCCTGCACACTAACTCATTCCACTCCCCCATCACCAAGAAGCATCTCCCAGCCACACCTCCAGGGGCCTGTCACAGGGCCCCTCCTAGCAGAGGTAGCTGGGACAACTGGGGAGCGGGACAGAAACCTCCAATCAACCTGGGATTCCTGTGTAAAAGATACTAAAAATAAATTAGTAAACATCGCTGTTTACAGAAACAGAAATCATTTCTGTTTCTAAAGGCCTCTTCACCATCTCAGTCCTGGACACTTTCCAAGACCACCACCCGTCCCCGCCCCTCCCAAAACCACTTTCTCCAAGGTCCTCCCTGTTGTGCAGGTGAAACACCAGAGTTCTTGGAGACGGGGGTCTTCAGGCCCTGAGAATTCCAGTTTTCCCATCTCTGCATTCAGGCAAAGGGCGCGCCTGCGCATCTTCAGGACTCTGGAGAGTACCCAGGAGGTTTGTCCCTTCTCGCCAGTTGCTGGGGGTTCCTTCCAGGCAAGTACCCCGCTTTGAAGGGGCAACACACGTGCTGTGAAGATTCCTGCTGTTTTCGTACCCTCAGTTCCCAACCCCTTGTCTTTCCCCAGGGTCCAACGAGCCAGCCAGCTCCCCCGCTCAGAGCGAGGTGGAATCAGTCTGTCCCTTGGACTGAGGGCACCGGGGAGAAGAGGGAGGATCCGAGAGAAGACAGGACGAGAGTCTGGGGGGGGTGGGGGTGGTGGTGGTGGTGGTGGTGGTGGTGGTGGTGGTGGTTGTCGTCGTCGTCGTCATCGTCGTCGTCCAGAAAGGAGACGGGCCAGACTAAAAGCAATTACCGAAATACAGGCAGGCGGTGAAGCTGGGAGCCTGGTCGGTCCCGGAGCCAGAGTCGGAGCTGTCCACCCGCTGGGCGGGCTGCTGGGCGTCGCCTGGGGGCGGTGGGGCATCGCCTGGGGGTGGGGCGTCGCCTGGGGGCGGCGCGTCATCGGCCGGGGGCGGCGGGTCGTCGGCCGGCAGCTGCGGTTCTTCTGCCGGGGCCGCGGGCGCGGCGTCGGGGCCGGGGGGTGGCGGGTCGCCGGCCGGGGGCGGCGGGGCGGCGCGGGGCGTGCGCCGGCGGCCGCGGTACTCGATCATGTCGGGGTGGTAGGCGGGGTGGCGGCGGGCGTGCTTGGTCAGGTGGTCGCTCCGCGAGAACTGCTTGGGGCAGAGCGGGCAGGAGAAGCGCTTCTCGCCCGTGTGCGTCCGGTAGTGGCGCGCCAGCTCGTCGGAGCGCGTGAACTTCTTGTCGCAGTCGAGCCAGTCGCAGGAGAACGGGCGCTCCCCGGTGTGGGTGCGCTGGTGGGACTTCAGGTGCGACGACTTGTAGTAGGCCTTGTTGCAGCCCGGGAAGGGGCAGCGGTGGCGCTTGGCGGCGGGGGTCACGGGCCGCCGGCGGGGCCCCGGGGGCGCGGCGGGGCCGGCGCCCGCGGCTGGGAGCGCGTCCGACTCCCCCGCCGGCTCCTCGGACGCCGCGGAGTCGTCGGGCGCCTCGGCCGCCTCCTGCTCGCTCGGGGCGCGCTCGGGCGCGGGGAGGTCGGCGCCGCTGCCGTCCGGGTCCGCCTGAGGCTCGGGGCTGGTCGCGGAGCCCCCGCTGGGCTCTCGGGAGCCGGGCGAGGCGCGCGGAGCGGCTGCGCCCAAGTCCTCCCCGGAGCCGTCGCCGTCGCCGGCGCCGCCGCGCCAGTCGGCCAGGACGCTCGCGGCCAGCAGGTGGGGCGCCGCGCCGCCGGGGCCCGGGGCAGGGGGCGGCGGGGACCCCTCCGCGGGCGGCTCCGGGGGTCCCGGCCCCGGCCCCGCCGAGTCCGCGGGCGGCGGCGGAGCCGCACCCACCTCCACCTCCGAGCCGGTGCTGGCGGCGGCGGCGGCCGCCGCGGCGCCCGCAGCGCCCGTAGCGCCCGCGCCCTCGGGGTCCGGCGCGCGCGGGTGGACCACGGCGCCCGCGGACATGGACACCAGGCACTCGGCGGCGAAGTAGTCCAGGCACGCCACGGCGGCCGACATGCTGCTCGCCGCCCCGCCGGGCCGCCGGCGAGCGCGCTCCGAGCGCGGCCGGCCGCGGGCCGGAGACTTCCCGGGCGCGTCCGTCCCGCCGCCGCCGGGGAGCGCCGAGCTCCTGGAGGGCTCCGCGCGCGCGCCCGCCCGCTGCCCGCTGCCCGCTGCCCGCTGCCCGCTGCCGCCGCCGCCGCCGCCGCCGCCCGCGCCGAGCCCGCCCCGCCTGACGCGCCCCTGACGCACCGGAGCCCGCGGGGGCGGCGGGACCCGCCCCGGCCCGCACGGCACCCCCTCGCCACGCGCGCTCCGCCGGCCTAAGTCATTTTTAAAGCGCCGCCGAAATTATCTTGTCTTCGCCTCCTTGCCTCTGCGGGCGAGCCAGGTAATTTCCATCAGGAGCCAACTCCCCGGTCGCAACTTCTGGGCAGTCTGCCGGCGTCGCGCCCCCTGTTTCCCGGCCCGCCCCCCCCACGCCCCGTCCCCGCGCCCCCCACCCCGCGCCCCGCTGGGCCGCCGCCAGCTACCCGGGTGTCCGGCGGCAGAGTCCGAGAAAGTTGGGTATTTGCTTTTTTTTTTTTTTTTTTTTTTTTTTTTTTTTTTTTTTTTTTAGGAAAACACCCCGCTAGTACCTGACCTGTCTTTTGCTTCTTAATTACGATCGTGAGCTCAGCGGGCTGCGATTGCACTGCACTTCTGTCCTCTCCGCTCGCGGAGCAAAATTTAAATATCCCCCCAAGTCTGCATCCAAAAGAGAGAGAGAGAGATAGAGAGGGAGAGAGAGAGAACGAGAAAAAGTTTTCTCATTTAACAGAGCTACTGTGAATCCAGGGTCGGTAGCACGTTCCCGAAATAGAGCCACTCCCGTAGCTATTAATTAATAGCGTTTTGCAACCAGAAACATTTTTATCCTTGATAAAAGCCAAAGAATCCTCTCGTGCGGTTGAAATGGAAACTTAAAATCCTTGGAGTAACGATTTAACCATTCGGCGAACGAAAGAAAAATGCATGTTTAAACTGCATTAACCTGTCAGAGGCGTACAAACAAATTTCCACGCTGAAATATAAATTATAGAGTAGCAGCGAGATAGACACATTAAAATGGACTCCCACAATTTTAATAATAGAAAGTCACGTTTCCAATTAGACAACATCCCCCCCCCTCCTTTGACAACAATTAAAAATAAGAAGATGCAGCAAATGATATAGGATTGCTCGTGGGGTATATTATGGTTGTGACGGCTTTTTTTTTTTTGAATATCAGAGCTATGTTGGTTTTTTTTTTTAAAAGTTCCTCCATTGCTTTCACTTTACCTCCTTTTTACTTTTTAAAAATTAAAAGCATATAGAAAGCAAACAGAAGTATTTCTATCAATAGTCATGCCCACGGGTTTTGATGTACACAATTTTGAGTTTTATGCATACAATAAGTTTATTTGTACTTCTTCAGTACTTTTTCTTTTGAAGAGGAAAGAATACTTACATATCAAGAACAACATGTAAGGAAATGTGCAATGTTTGTCATATCTGCTTTAGAAATGCATTTGTAGCAAAGATCACAAATAGGATAGACTCCTCCTCCCCCTCCCACTCTCACTCACCTTCTCCCTCTTCAACTTCCCTAGTTCCTCAGTATTATAAAGTGCATTCTTGTAGCTTTTGTTTTTCTATCTCTATTTTCTGATTATTTATTTTCACATGTAAATATGTGTGCTAATATATTCCACATTTTAAAAACTAAATGCTAGTGTACATTTTTTGACTTACTATACCCGCCCCCCCCCCCCAGTGATTTGGAGAATTATCCAAATTCAGGTTGATTGCTTATAGCAACATTTCAGCAATTGTATATTATTGGCAGCTTTCTCATTTTTATGGAGATTCTTTTCTAAGAACAATTATGATAAAGTTCCTTGCCTCAAAACTTTAACTCTAGTGAATCTAGGATTTTTTTCCATTTTATTTATTTTTTAAATGAAAAGCTCTTTCAAAATACAGAGAAAATATAGCAAACATCCATATACCTAAAGTCATATAATTGGTAAATGTTAACATTTTGTTCTGTCTGCTTCAAGGTTTTTTATAATTGACCTATCCAATATTTCTGATAAAACTGAAATCCCTTTGTACTCACTGCCCTGCCTTCTCTCCAAAGGCAAACACTGTCATGAATTTAGTATGTAACTTTCCAATCTGGGTTTTATATTTTTTTTTACTACATATGAATCCATAAAAGCATAGAATTTTGCTTTGATTTTTAAAGTAAACAAGTGTGGTGTTAGAACCTTGCTTGTGACTTGTTTTTTTATTCCTTCCTGGTATGTTTTTATTTTCTCCATGCGGAAAAATATAAATCCAGCATATTCATTTTAATTGTATATTATAGATCCATGCATATGAATGGGCTGTGTTTATTAATTCCCCTATTGATGAATATTTAAGCCGCTGCCAATATGTTGGTATTACAGGCAGTGCTCAAGCGAACATATGTGTCCTTTGCACATATGTGAGAACCTCTCTGTGTACCTACCTGGATGGAGAATTGCTAGGTTACACACGCGTTTTCAGTTTTATTAGATACTGCCAAATGGTTCTCTAATTTACAATTTACACACCCAGCTGAGCATGGTGTTCTTGTTTCCCTCACATGAACTTCTATACTTTTTAGATTCAGACTTTCCTTATTTCTGAGACTTTGGTTTTCCAGTATCTCACTGGATCATTTTAATTTCCCTCATGCTAATGAGACCGAGCTTTTGTCCATTATTTGCTATGAAGGTTTTTTGAATGTGTTTTTCTTTTTCACTCTTCTCATCCTTTTCCCAGGATCTGTGTATGTTTTCCTCCATTTCCCCTGATTTGTAGAGTTCACGTGAGATGTATTGTCTCAACCTGTGACTGAGTTTGATGTGTTTTGTCCTATGAGAAATTTTAAATGGAGTCATATGCATTTACCTATAGTTACATTTGTGTCTTATTAAATACACCTATTCCTGAGGCCAAGAACATAGTCTCCTAAGTTTTTTCTGAATGCTTTTTTTTCTGAAAGTTTTCCTTTCCACACCTGTAAAATTGATCTATCTTGGACTTTTTAGGGCTGTAAATTAGAAATTTAACTTTACTCACCCACTTCCCATATGTGAAAAGCTGTTATTCTGATCTGATTTGAAATAAACAGTCTTTTATCTCTTATTGATGTGTAATGCAAATATGATCATAAATTAAATTTCTTTTTAATCATCTATTCATTCCTTTTTCATGAATCAGACTAATTAAGACTAAGTACCACACTGTTTTAATTAGTGTGGCTTTATAAAAAGTCTTCCATGTCGAAAGGGCATCTCTTCTCTTTGTTTATTTAAAAACAGTGTATTTAAACAATTTATTTTTCAGACTGATACTTTAGGATCAGGTTGTATTGATCTGTTGGAAATCCTTTTGGTATTTTACTGAGTTGAACATATAGGTTAAATTTGGGACGATGTTACATCTTTGTAAAATTGAGTGAATCAGTATGTTAATATTCTTACGATTTAAGTTAAAACAAAGCTTTATAATTTGATTATAAAACTCCTTTATTTGGTCCGGCCTGAGAGACAGTACAGGGGTTTAAGGCACTTGCCTTGCAGGTGGCTGATGACCCAGATTTAATCCCCCAAGGGATACGTCCCCCAAGCAACACCAGGAGAGATCCTTGAGCACATGGCCAGGAGTAAGCCCTGAGCACTGCCAGGTGTGGCCCAAAGACCAAACCAAAACCAAACAAAGGAAGTTTGTTTTCTCTTTGCTTGCTTGTTTGTTTGAGGGGATTTACACCTGGCAGTTCTGGGGACTGTTCTGTTCTGTGCTCAGGGGCTCTTCCTAGTAGCACCTGAGGGATTGTGGACTCGGGGCTCCTACACTCAAATCATATACTCCAGTCCTTTGAAGTCTCCCCCCTCCGCCACGTTGCCTCCCCTAACCCTCTTTGTTACATTCATTTCTAGGTATTTTACAGCTTTTGTTACTTTTTAAGTGGGATACTTGTCCTACTAAATTGTTTAATTGGTCATTGCTGCTGCTTAGAAATGTTATTATTGGAACAGTTTTACTTTGGCAAACATGCTGACATTTATTAGTAAAATGGTTTACAGATTCCTCCAGTATTTCACATAGATAATCCTCTTACCTGTAAGTAACACTCTTCTTGCCTTCTCCTTCATGTACCTTATTGGATAGACTTTATAGTGCCCAGTTCATCCAGGAATAGCATCAAATAGTAAGAGTGAAGCCAGACAGTGTTTTCCCATTTGTATCTCACTGAGAATATTTCTGATGTGTCATACTGATTTTTATTTGTTGTAAGTTTTCTGGTAGAAAACCTTGACTAGATAAAGATGTTCCCTCTTATCCCATTTCAGTTTAAAATAGGAGTATTTTATTATTTTTGTTTGTTTTCTGAGTCACACCCAGTGGTGCTCAGGGCTTACTCCTGGCAATAAGTTTAGGGATCACTTGAAGCGGGGCTTTGTGGATCAAGGACGGGTGCCAGAGATTAAACTGAGGCTAGCCATATGCAAGGCTGTAGTATCTCTCTATGCCCCCAAATAGAAATAGAAAACCATGAAATGAATAATAAGTTTTATTGAGAGCTTTTTCTTATACTATTGGGAAGATAGGGCTGTCTGGTATGTTAATGTAACAGGTCACCTTAGATAGGTTTTTCTAATGTGGACCTATCCTCCCATTATTTGAGTTAAACTTTGTTTTTGCCTCTGTGTGTGTGTGTGTGTGTGGTGTGACAGAAAAAACATTACTTCAGGCAATTTGTAATGTTTTTTCTTATTTTAGTAACTGTGTTCATAAGTGATATTGGCTTATGATTTTCTTCTCTTGCACTGCCTTTGTTCATGTTTGGCATCAAGATTATACTGCCTCGTGAAATGCTTTTGGAATTTTCCCTTCTTCTATCTTTTGTAATAATTTATGTGAGATTTAGTATTACATATTTGGTAAATCTCATCTGTGAAGTC